AACTGAGCTTCTAATGAAAACAGTCACAGATAGATGGGGCCATCAACATAGATCTGCTGAGTCAATTCCACTTTGCCCCGTGTTCCGCTTTGCCCCGCATTTATTTTTAGCACGCTGGAAACGCTGCACGCTGAATACAATTCGATGCCTAATATCCCATACGACCCCCAAAGTTCCGTCATAGACAATAGAACACTAATCCCATAACAAAGTTCGGTCGGAGAGATGCATCCATGCGTGAGAACTGTGGGAAACCGTGTCGTATTCAACTAACTTTTTTGAAGAACACATACGATTTTCAGGTAAATTGGTGGTGTCATATGATTAAGGGAGAATCATAGACGAAAACAAGGTAAAGTTTGAATATATTTATTCACATATTGGTAGATTAGTTACCAGTTCAAAACTATGCAAAACGCTGTTAAAACCGTGACATACTCTTCTCTATTATCCACTCTTGATATATATATATACATGTGAACTATTATATGTAAATATTGTGTATGTACACATAGGTGCATTACGACTTTGGTTTGAGGAACATCCTGTCTGTACTGCGTACTCTGGGATCGAACAAGAGAGCGAGACCTGAGGACAGTGAATCTACCATCGTCATGAGAGTGCTACGTGACATGAATCTCTCAAAACTGGTGACGTGTTTTTGGCATCGTATATCAATTTTAATTTATTATATTATTAGGCAATATTTTCAGGAATCTCTCATTAAGGTAATTATTAAATGAATTGCTAGTTTTCAGTGATATACGCATCTATATTAAGATAAATTATGGTATAGTGTGACAGAGTTTCTGAATTATTCACAAAGTTGAGGTGTATGCATTGGTTGTATGGTGGCCCCACCTTAATCAGGACAGCTAGGTCAAGAACCATAAAAATATCCTGATTAAGCAGTAGTTCCGATTCAGCAGTGAGTGCATACATAACAGTGTTTTTTAAATGACATGTGCCCGCTTATCCGAGGCCTGATAAAGTGGGGACCATTGTACTGCATGGTTATCTCTCGTTTCCATATATAGCTCACTTTCACAATGATTTGTCAATTTTCAGTCAATTTGCTTTTTGTCACGGAACTTTATGTGTAAGTGAGTTTTTTAAGGCAATGAACTTATAACCGATGTCTTGTATTACGTTTAGGTGGATGAGGATGAGCCGTTGTTCCTCAGCTTGATCAGTGATCTGTTTCCTGGCATCCAGCTGGATAGTGCTAGCTATGATGACCTTCAGGTGGCAATACAACATCAGGTCGATGAGATGGGTCTGGTCAACCATCCGTCATGGAATCTAAAAGTCGTTCAGGTATGTTGTGCTGTCTCATACTCATACCTCATATGGAGACGTGTCATACACCGGGTAGGAATGCAAACATCTTGGATGCTTGTGTTGTTGAAGAGCATTTGCATGCTTGTGTTGTTAACCAGCATTTACATATATGCTTGTGTTGTTAAACAGCATGTGCTCTTACGCGTTGTGGATGATTTATATACTGCGTCATCTGCTCGTTCTGTGAACGTCGGGTGTAACGGCAAGATTTTTAAAAATTAGTTGTTTTCCCGGTGACCCACAGCTGTACGAGACACAGTGTGTGCGTCACGGCATCATGGCGCTGGGTCCTAGCGGAGCAGGCAAATCCTGCTGCATTCAGACGCTCATGCGATCCATGACGGAGTGCGGCAGCAGTCACAGGGAGATGAGAATGAACCCCAAGGCCATCACGGCACCGCAGATGTTTGGAAGACTCGACGTGGCCACCAATGACTGGACGGACGGCATCTTTTCTACGCTGTGGAGAAAAACCTTGAAGACGAAAAAAAGTATGTCACAGATGGGAAAAACCTATCTGGAATTTCTTGATAAATGGATTGTCAGATGAACATTGAATGAATTGTTACATGATGAATGACATTTCTTAACATATGAAATGTGAAAAATATGACAGTAACATTGGTCCAAAACGTTCCAAATGCTAACCATTATAGTACAGAAAATTTTAATTTAGTATCATTTTACATATTCAATTGATCCTAATTATATTGTTTTTGTTGTTATTAAATTTTTTTAAACTCATCTCAGAGTTCAAAATCCTCAGTGCTAACCATACTATGGAACCTTGTTTATGATTGCATTTGCAATCATTTAAATGACCCAAATAACTATTTTAACAAATTTTAGTGTTCCTAGGCTATTCAAAAATAATGTAGTTTCGAATTCGACCAAGATTTAAACTTGCATTTCGGTATTCAGTGTTCTGAGGGCTAATCAAGACACCATGTAACTGATTTCAATATCCTTCATTAGCACTCAAGTAATCTCATTGATATCTGTGTTTATTTTAAACAGCTACTAAATTTTACCGTGATTTAGTGTCGCTGAGACGGTATACCCCCCAGGGTACGGTCCGGTATACGGGAACGTACCCTGGTACCAGGGCATATAAATCAACGTGATTTATATGCTCTGCTGGTATTATCTAATATGCCGGACCGTACCTTGCCTACTCCACTAACTAGTCTAGGGAGTCGCCTACGCCTACTCCCTAACCCTAACCATATCAGATAGTTACCTCAGGTACATATATGTCACCTACGCCTACGCCTACTCCCTAACCCTAACCATATCAGATAGTTACCAGGGCACGTTCCGGCAGTACCCTGGGGGACATAGACCCTATGAGCTTTAGTGTCCCTGTTCAAAATTTAGGTTCCACCGAGATTTGAACTCGGATCGCAGGATTCAGAGTCCTGAGTGCTAACCATTACACCATGGAACCTTATAGTTGATTACATTTGTAATTATTTAAAAATGACACAAGTGTCTATTTTAACACATTTTTATTTTTAGTTTTGTTATTCAAAATTGAGGTTCCACCGAGATTTGAACTCGGATCGCAGGATTCAAAGTCCTGAGTGCTAACCATTACACCATGGAACCGTGATGAAATCATTTATGTACACCCTAAATAATCTCATTGATATCCGTTTTAATTTGTCACAAAACCTAATTGTAACCTATGTTATTGTTTTAATCTGTAGCAATAAAATGTTTAGGTTCCACCGAGATTTGAACTCTATTAACGGTGTACTAACTTTTACATCATGGTTTAAACCATTGACCTTTATTCTAAGATTCTTTATAAACACATAAGTAATCTCATTGTATACTTCCACCTCAACCCAATTTGTTGCTATAAAAATTTAGGTTCCACCGAGATTTGAACTCGGATCGCAGGATTCAGAGTCCTGAGTGCTAACCATTACACCATGGAACCTTGTAGTTGATTACTTTTGTAATTAGTTTATTTGAAATGACTCTGGTGTTAATTTTAACGTAATTTAGTGTTCCTGTTCAAAATTTAGGTTCCACCGAGATTTGAACTCGGATCGCAGGATTCAGAGTCCTGAGTGCTAACCATTACACCATGGAACCTTTTATTTAATATTATTGGAAATTATTTAAATGATCCAAATGTCTATTTTAACACATTTTAGTTTCGTTATTCAAAATTGAGTTTCCACTGAGATTTGAACTCGGATCGCAGGATTCAAAGTCTTGAGTCCATATTACACCATGGAACTCTGGTAAAGTCGTTTATATACACCCTAAATAATTTAATTGATATCTGTTTTAATTTGTAATAAAACTTGGTGTAGCAATTAAATGTTTAGGTTCCACCAAGATTTGAATGCTTGTAATGGTGTGCTAACCTTTACAATATGATTTAAGTCATAAAACCTGATTCTAAGATTTTTTATAAACACCCAAGTAATCTCATTATTGTATGGTTCTACTTCAACCCAATTTATTGCTATGAAAATGTGAGGTTCCACCGAGATTTGAACTCGGATCGAAGGATTCAGAGTCCTGAGTGCTAACCATTACACCATGGAACATTTTGTGTGATCTTATTTGTAATAACCTGCTAGCATATGGAACGTGGACGTTAAACGGATATGATGATGATGATGAATTGATGATGAATAACTGAATTGAATCATATATGTCTATTTTAATGTATTTTTTTGTCGTTATATAAAATTGAGGTTCCACCGAGATTTGAACTCGGATCGCAGGATTCAAAGTCCTGAGTGCTAACCATTACACCATGGAACCATTTTTGTTACATTGTTAATACGTGCAATTATTTTTACATATTGGCTGAACCCAAGACCAACTACACAGAACATATAATTAAGAATTTTGCCACCAATTGTGTTAAAATGTAAATAACACTGCTTTAAAGGGTTAGGGGTCACAGAGATCTGGGTATATTGACTGAATGGTATTGTTCCTTCACAGCGGACCATGTCTGGATTATACTGGATGGACCTGTTGATGCTATCTGGATTGAGAACCTCAACTCAGTGCTGGACGACAACAGGACGCTGACACTGGCTAATGGTGATCGTATTCCTATGTCACCCACCTGCAAGGTGCTGTTTGAGGTGCACAACATCGACAATGCCAGCCCAGCCACCGTGTCACGTAACGGCATGGTGTACATGAGCTCATCAGCGCTGGACTGGAAGCCCATACTTCAGGTTGTAATGTGGTTGGATACGGTGCGCGCACACCGAAAACCAACTGTTCTATCGCATCGAGTAATTGAAGCGGGGATAAATGCAATCTACAGACAGTTAATATTGAGAACTACTCTTTCCATCTTCATAACAGTTGTTGTCTTCTCAAATTAACTAACGTGCCAGTAAATAAACATAAAATTATAATCATGTTTCTTTCAATGGTAGGATTTTTAATTAACGTGTTGATTTTTTAGGCCTGGTTGAACAAACGCGCAGCAGCTGAAGCAACGATTCTTAAGCAACTGTTTGATGAGCTATTCCAAGACATGTTCACTTATGTCAAACAAAGCCTCTTTGCTAAAATGGTTGTACTTGAATGCAATTATATCAGACAGGTAAATGTCACCAACGTTCTCAAATGATTATTACTAGCTACAACTTAAGTCTTCCCCCACCAGCTAATCCATTATTAGACCAGAAAAACTATTTCATTATAATCTAACATTTCACCAACATATGCGTTCGAAATTGCTTAAGGTTGCCGCACACCAACCGATTTTTCACGCGATTTGATCGGCCCGATAGAAATCAGCCGATATCGGGTAGGTGTGCGCGTTCATTTGTAGACGATTTTATTTTTATCGGGTGATCGTTCCGAATCAAACATGTTTGATTTTGAACCGATGACCCGATGAGCCGATGAGCCGATGAGCCGATTTTACAAACGATGAAGCGATGAAGCGATGTAGGTGTGCGGCGGCCTTTACCATTTTGTTTTGTTTTTGGTTTCAGTGCATTGATCTGCTAACTGGTTTGATTCCAAGCAAAGAGGAGGTAGGTAATCTGTCGGCTAAACACTTGGAGAGGCTCTTCATCTTTGCTATCATGTGGAGCTTGGGGGCGCTACTGGAGCTGGAAGATCGATCGAAGATGGAGGAGTACATTCTGAGTCACCCAAGCAAACTCGCATATCCCGAAATCCCGGAGGGAAGCGGACAGACGATATTCGAGTTTGTCGTCGCCGCAGACGGTAAGAACGTGAATAGTGACGTGTAGACGAGCGAGATACCGCTGCGTTTGTACCCAACGTGCTCGAACAAAAACCGCCTCACTGTAAGCGCAGAGTGTAATCGCAACTGTTTCAATCGTCTTCCTACATTGCCCTGCAGGCGATTGGGAGCACTGGTCAAACAGAGTGCAGGAGTATAAGTACTCATCCGAGGTGGTTCCAGAGTACTCGAGCATCCTTGTGCCTAACGTCGACAATGTGCGCTCCAACTTCCTCATAGACACCATCGCCAAGCAGCACAAGGTTAATAACAGCTTTAATTACAATTCAAAACGCTGCTTTAATGCACGTTAATTTAAGGTAAAACGCAACTTATCTGTACATATTATTTAAAGCATATTAAGCTTCTTCTTATACACGACGCCATGTGGGAAATGTTTCTGTAACGTGCTCTGTTTTCCTTTAGGCTGTGTTACTCATAGGCGAGCAAGGAACAGCTAAAACAGTGATGGTTAAGGCATACATGGCCGGATATGATCCAGACCAGCATATGGGCAAGAGCTTTAACTTCTCGTCAGCCTCCACTCCAGCACTCTTCCAGGTAATGACACCATATATCGATATATTCCACAGATTATGCACAGATGTTGCTCATTTTCATGTTAAAGTGATAGTTCATAATGATAGCAGCACCAGGTGTCCCCACTAAAACTAATATTGCCTATAGTTATTCATGAATCTGTTCTATATGCATAGCGCACTATTGAGAGTTACGTTGACAAGCGGATGGGAAACACGTACGGTCCACCAGCGGGCAGAAAGATGACCGTATTTGTTGATGATATCAACATGCCAATCATCAACGAGTGGGGAGATCAGGTGCGTTAGAATCAATATATTGGAAACTAGAATAGACGAGGGTGTCAAAGATAAAGTTGCTGGATTCTGGATTAGTAATTGCAGTTATTATCTAACATTGTATGACAGTTTTCAAGTGTGATACCCTGGAAATGTCTTTTATTAACTATATTTGTGTAGGCGTTTACGTGTTGTGTTTGTTTTGTATATTTTTATATCGCCTAGATAAGATTTCAATGAAACGAACATTCCTTATTTCCTTATCAGAGCATGCTTAATGAACAAGATTGACAGAAATGTTCTTTTCAAACAGATCACCAACGAGATTGTGAGGCAAGGCATGGAAATGAAGGGCTTCTACTCGCTAGACAAGCCTGGTGACTTCACGAACATCGCTGACATGCAGTTCATCGCTGCCATGATCCACCCTGGTGGCGGTCGCAACGACATTCCGGAGCGCCTCAAGAGACAGTTTACCATTTTCAATTGCACACTGCCGTCGAACGCCTCAATCGATAAAATCTTCGGTAACCTTTTGAGCTTTTCCCATGTAAATTTAGAGGTTGATGATCTCAGTGTTGTTAATAGTGATACTCGCATAACTCGGGCTTACAAGCATTCGCTGGCATTGCAAATGTGTTGGCTAACTCACTAGGACGGCGTTTTGAACAACGTCGGCTTTGTTCTTGTCATCAAAGATGACAAAAACTAGTCGTGCACTCGGCTGCTCAGTCATGATGACGGTCTGTCTCTAATTGTCTCTGCAGGTGTTATTGGCTGTGGATACTTCTGCAGCACCCGTTTCAATGAAAGCATTGTGGAGCTCTGCAAGGATCTTGTGCCTGCTACTAGAACGTTGTGGCAACAGACAAAGGTGAGTAGCCTGTAGGAAAGGTATTTTATGGCAAAGTGCCTATATGTATTAGCAAAATGAAATGTCAGTGCTTTGATAGGTCAATGGTTACCCAGCTATGACAGTATGAGTTCAACGCAATATGTAATCAGGCATGTTCTATAAATGTAAATAACAAATAATTTTTATTAAAAAGATTATTATTGAAAATCATTTTATTTGTGATTTTTTTCTTCCTTTTTTTAATTCTCCAATCTTGGTATTATTTGCATGTTATTGTAAAATGTTGAATTGAAGTCATGATAAATTTCCCATTTCTTTTTGCCAGGTGAAAATGTTGCCCACACCAGCCAAGTTCCACTACATCTTCAATCTGCGAGATCTGTCTCGCATTTGGCAGGGCATGCTCACTATCAAAGGATCCGAGTGTACAACGAAAGAGATGCTGCTGTCTCTCTGGCAGCACGAATGCACGCGTGTTATTGCAGACAGGTATATGAGTTCCTAGTGTAATGACCCCTGCCATTCAGCTGCCATTCTGGAATTGGAAATTATTTAATCAACATTTCAATCGTGATCATCGTGATTACCGTTTCTAAAGGGGATTTAAATTCATCTAAGAGCTGCTCTATTTTCTATAGATTCACGAACGAAGACGATAACAAGTGGTTCCAAGAGGTGATCCGGCAGGTAGTGAAGACAAATGTAGGTGAAGAGTTGGTGTCACAGATCGTGAAGGAACCCTTCTTCGTCGACTTCCTCAGAGATGCGCCAGAGGTTACGGGGGAAGAGCCAGAAGATGCTGACCTTGAGGCACCAAAGATATATGAAATCGTACGACACGCGGTGGTTATGCGCACGCTCAACTCTTTTATATATATTGTGGATTTTTGTACAGTTTTGTATAGAAATAAGATGTGTGTGACCTGTGAATAGGGTTAAACATGTATCTTTCTTTTCTCGTGCCCGCACATCATCTCTCTGCAGTATCGTACTTGTCGTATCATGTTGAACTCTCTCTCCAGATTCCAGACTACAATTTCTTGAAAGAGAAACTCAAGATGTACATGCAGATGTACAACGATACTGTGCGTGGCAATGCTATGGACTTGGTATTCTTCCATGATGCCATGAATCATCTAATGAAGGTAGATATGCAGCAAGAGTAGATAATAACACAAGAGTGAGACAACCGATTCCCGCATTTTTAACCGCTTTTTCTCATCAAAATTTGCCACCAATAAAGAAGCAAGTGTATACGTTCCTCAGCTTATTATGACCACTAATCACTCACCTTCATGGTACTGATATTCGTTTACATATATTTGCTAGCGTATTGCTGTAAATCGTAATCTTGCACGAGCTGAATTCGCACGATTTACCGCTGTTGTTGTGACCTGTTTAGCCATTATTTAGAAGCTATCGGGGCGCTAATATTTAGCAACGGACGGTTTCCAAATCATTCGTGCCCCGATAGGGTTGAGAGACAATCTAAATTTCGAATTTTGATCTCGTGAAGAACCTGCGAGACGCGCTCAGTTATTGTGATCGCAACACAAGAAATTGACATACTATATCTTACATAAGTAATAATACAATAATAACAATATTCTCTGTAGTAGTTTGCAGTAAGTATCACATTACGCACGCGCAGGTAATCAAGTACATTAAACCCCTATCGGGGCACGCATGATTTGGAAACCGTCCGTTGCTAAATATTGGCGCACCGATAGCTTCTAATAATGTCTAAACAGCTCGCAACAAGTCACCATTTTAGCGGTAAATTTATCGAATTCAGCTCGTGCAAGATTACGATTTACAGCAATACGCTAGCAAATATATGTAAACGAATATCAGTACCATGAAGGTGAGTGATTAGTGGTCATAATAAGCTGAGGAACGTATACACTTGCTTCTTTATTGGTGGCAAATTTTGATGAGAAAAATCGGTTAAAAATGCGGGAATCGGTTGTCTCACTCTTGTGTTATTATCTACTCTTGATATGCAGACATACTTCAGCACATCTGGTGTATTTCAGCAATGCGCAGTCATTTGAGTCACACGTCTGCTTATTGACAACCACATACGTGTTCACGCAAAAATTCCAAACACTAACAATGGCGCGTGCAGATTCACTTTGTAGAAGATTCCGTACGGAGAAGATGTTATAAATGTGTTACGTTACAATTTCGATTACGATGTGCAGCATGTTGTTTGTGTATGGATAGATATCAAGGGTGCTGAGGACAGCAAGAGGCAATTCTCTGCTAGTAGGCGTCGGAGGTTCTGGCAAGCAATCGCTCACACGGCTTGCCTCCTACATTGCCGGATACAAGATCTTCCAGATAACACTAACAAGGTACTTGTGTTGTAGTGACGAGGTGCATTAGCGACTAATTCCTTCTCACGCATGGAGAATAAGTGGCTCACTGTCTGTGTATGTTCATATTCCACTTGTTCATATTCCACTTGTTCTTATGCGCTCTCACTCAATCCTATCCTAAATCGTTATCATTATTTGTTCGTCACCGTGTCACGTCCGCGATTGCAGATCGTATAATGTGACAAACCTGATGGATGACCTGAAGTATCTCTATCGTGTTGCTGGTGGTGAGGGCAAGGGCATCACCTTCATCTTCACCGACAATGAAATCAAGGACGAAGGCTTCCTCGAGTACATCAACAATGTGCTCAGCAGTGGAGAGGTAAATACATGACAGGTTAACGCAGAGCCCGCGCTATATCCCTGATCCGCAATTATCTGTCATAACCAACAAATACTGCTTCAAAATTTGACAGGTCCAAACATATTCGAGTAAATATTACTACAATCGATATTTACCTGTGGGTATAGGAATTTGTTTTGTTCACCTGACAAATTAAGTACTGCATATTGTAAGAACATTTTGAAAAAGTTCTCATGATTTAGTCTGCATTTCAGTTTTCATATTAGGATAATTATGACTGTAGTGAGCTGCATTTAGCATTGTAAAACAAGAAACTGTAAAAATTAGAATCAGTCTATTCTTAGATCTTATTTTATTTTTTTATTAGATCTTAGATTTTATCAGTCTAGTTCCCTTTCTTAGTATTTCTTCGTATTCTCTCAGTTTAATTCAATTCAATAAACATTCCCACAAATTGGCGCACTGCCAAACATGAGCCGTCTCTCGCTGATAACGCGTCGATGCTAGCTGACCTCTGTGTGTCCGCCGTGTGTGTCCTACGTCCGCAGGTGTCGAATCTGTTCGCTAAAGATGAGATCGACGAGATATGTCAGGAGCTGGTTCCCGTCATGAAGAAGGAGAGCCCGCGCGTGCCGCCGACGCAGGAGAATCTCTACGACTACTTCATCTCGCGTGCGAGAAACAACCTGCATCTCGTCCTCTGCTTCTCGCCCGTACGTGCCAGGTCACGACCTCGCGTCCTGCAAATATTTGCGTCTCTGAACGTACTAGTTGCTATGCTTGAATTTGGAACGCTGGCTGAAAGTGTGTTTATAGGCCCTTGATAGTGCAGTTGTTCTTGTGTTTTCACCTTGGAAACTAAAAAGTTATGGCCATTGGGCTATAGCTCGGCAGCCCACAGCTTCCATTATCCAGTGACTACAAAGAAATGTTTGTAGGTTTAGCGGAGACTATTAGGGACTGCGTAAAAATAGCATGAGAAAACCTGAGACACGGAACCACTTCTCTAGTGCAGCACAGGGGTCTCTGCGATTTCAACGTGATGCCTAATTATGACGACACGCTCTAGATACTGGTTTTCTTTACAGGTGGGCGAAAAGTTCCGCAATCGCGCCCTCAAATTCCCCGGGCTCATCTCTGGCTGCACGATGGATTGGTTCAGTCGCTGGCCGAAGGACGCTCTGATAGCCGTGTCCAACCATTTTCTGTCCAACTTCAACATTGTGTGCACGCCTGAAGTCAAGATGCAGTTGGTGGAGACAATGGGCTCCTGCCACGATGGCGTGTCGATGACCTGTATCGATTACTTCGATCGGTAATCGATCTACTCGTCATTCAAATACCATCGGATAGTCATAGTTTAATGACAGTATTGTAGTTGGGCGTTTTGTGGACGTATAGATATAGATATATAACGTATATAGACGTGTGGTTTTCAGGTGTTTTTTGGAACGTATATAGACATGGATATCGAACGGATATAGATGGGAAATTTCTAGCACAATTTTCTTTTTTACAACTTAACAAGTAGTTTATCATATATATTGATAGGGTGATTGATTTATTGATAGGTGTAATAGTATTGGTATAGCTTTGTTGTATTTATTTTAGTGTTGCATTGGTGGTCCTGGTTTTGTGCAAAATGATATATGCATGTGTTGTCTTTACTATGCTAGCTGTTTTCGTTTTCCGCATGATTTACATTGTATTTCAGATACCGACGACAAACGCATGTCACACCGAAGTCATACCTGTCATTTATTAGCGGTTACAAAAACATTTACGGGGAGAAGTACAAGGAAATAGGCACGTTTATATTTTTATGTAGTATATATATCCTGTATAATATCCTCATTTGATAAAGGGATATTTCCTTCCTAATAATAACCATTGCGGAGTAAAACCGCTGCTGTATATGTGCACGCACACACGCATGCACACATAGACACACACATACACACGCGTGCGCACTGCGCACACGCACAAAAACATTTACGCACGCACGTACACACACGCACACATATATTTATATATCTATATATATACAAGCATGCACACGTGCACTTAGACGCATGCAGATTTATATATCTTTTGCTTAGTGCTGTAATATTCCTACGTCGAAGAAACTAAATAATTTATTTTTTGATGAACCTATTATATACATCTTGTAAATCATTGAGCTTTGGGGGCAAATTAATGCCAAATCGTTGGCTAATTGAAATCATCCTCGCACAGGTGAGCTTGCGGAACGGATGACTACAGGTCTCAACAAGTTGCTTGAGGCAACTGACTCTGTACAGCAGCTCTCCAAGGAGCTGGCCGTAAAGGAGAAGGAACTTGCCGTAGCATCTAAAAAAGCTGACAAAGTACGGGAGTCGGCGCCGAATCACAAATTCACGCCGATGATTACATGCATTGAATGTTAAATTGTAACCATATCCTTGTGCTCACGATGAATATAGTTATATTCGTAATAGACCTTCATCTGATATTGCCAAGTGGGAATTATCTGGATTTCAGATAAACATGTAGAGGCTATACAGGTTGTACTCGCTGGTCCTTAGATTAACTGGTCAGTACGTATTTACTGGTCTGTATACAACGACTGGGCTTCAGGAGGGTATATAATTGGCATTCTAACAGTCAAATTTTAATTTTCTTCACTTAATTTGTACCCAATTATAGAGTACAACCCCTAGTTGTAATTTGTGGAGCACGTGTGTTGTAATTTGTACATGGCTCTGATTCATGACTAGTAATTTATTGTACTTACAAACGTGAACCTTGGGAACGAGGAAACATGAATGGGGGATACATATCGATTATAGGTGTTGGCTGAAGTGACAGTGAGTGCGCAAGCAGCTGAAAAGGTGAAGGCATCTGTGCAAAAGGTGAAGGATAAAGCTCAGATAATCGTCGATCAGATTGAAACCGAGAAGATTGTTGCAGAGGGCAAGCTGGAGAAGGCCAGGCCTGCTCTTGCAGAGGCAGAGTCTGCTCTCCAGGTCAGTGTCGATAAGATACAGTGATAAATTGAATCCACAATTCAATGGTTGATACGGATTATATCAAATACATGTCAACCCTCTCTGCACGAGCCTTATGTGGAAATATATGTTTCTCAGTTTACTTCGCCTCTCATCGTGTAGTAATATAGTACGTTCGTGTAATTATTACAGACGATCAAAGCTGCTCATATCTCCACCGTGCGTAAGCTGGGTAAACCGCCGCATCTGATCATGCGCATCATGGACGCGTGCCTCATGCTCTTCCAACGCCGGCTCGACTCTGTACAACCTGACCCTGACAGACCCTGCGTAAAGCCATCCTGGGGGGAGTCATTAAAGGTACCTCGTCTTGCCCTTCAAAGAGCTATTGCGATTTAGTTATTAATCTTTTTATTATTGCCGATAAATATTGATCATATGGTGTGTGGGGTGGGGCTGGGTGTTATAACGACGTTGATGTGTGCAATGAGAATAACGAACGGTCAGCAACGAATAGTCCCACGTTATGGCTACTAATGACCGGTATATTTAATCCCTAGCTGATGAGCAGTTCAGGATTCATGCAAGGTCTTCAGAACTTCCCGAAGGACTCTATCAACGAGGAGACAGTTGAACTGATGACACCAATTTTGACCATGGAAGATTACACTTTTGAGTCGGCCAAGAAAGTCTGTGGCGATGTCGCTGGCCTGCTGTCCTGGTCCAGAGCTATGGCCTTCTTCTACACAATTAACAAAGAAGTGTTACCACTAAAGGTATGTTCTCACATAGTTGCATAAGCAATAATTAAACCATCATGCTGTTGCACTCAATCAATCACGGAATGTCATATACATCCCTATGTATCGAATCTGTAATCATTAACAGGCAAACTTGGCAATTCAAGAGGTGAAACTAGGAGTAGCAAACGATGAGCTTGCTAAAGCGCAGGCCCAGCTGGATGAAAAACAGAATGAATTGGATACTGTGCAGGCTATGTATGATGCTGCGATGACTGAAAAACAGGTAACACATGCTGCTTCCACATCCAGCTACCCTGCAGAATGACAGGGTTCAACTCTAAAATTTTATAGACTGTTTGCTGTATTACAGAGTGCATTAGTTGTTTCATTATACCATGCAGCTAATCTGGGGCCTGTTGTAAGAAACGTAAATAGTTATGTGTATCGTAAGTGTAAAATGTCATAATTTTGGCACTACACTTTACTGTGAAAGTCATTTCTGACAATGGGACCCTGGTTTATAAAGTAGCTATATTTAGATGACTAACATTTTGATGTATAATCAATTCAAAATTCGGTTAATGTCTATATTAAATACTCTTTTTAAAGTCTTTTTAAGTTTGATGTGACTGATTTAAATGTTCCAAGCTGCTAGCGTTGTTAGGTGACTGAACGTCATATTCATCTCGTTTAGAGCCTTCTTGATGATGCCGAGACATGCCGAAGGAAGATGACTGCAGCTTCGGCTCTGATTGGCGGCCTTGGTGGAGAGAAGGTCCGCTGGACAGAGCAGAGTAAGGAGTTCAAGGCACAAATTGACCGGTAAGGTTAACTATATAATCTATCCAATCCCCCCCATCACAAGCCATCTAATTGTTTTACGTCTTCAGGTGTGCACACATTTAAGTGTTTTATGTTTACATTTAAGAGTTTGCACAACACTAGAAGAATGTTTATGAGGTATATGGATGTTTCTATATAGCATTATATCTTGTTAAAATGCCTTGGCCACTTGACTTATCAACATAATCTTGTCTGTATGTGTTATTTGCCATGGAATTGTGTCGAGGTCAGACTTTTCTCACGTAACCTATCATGTTATGTACGTGTGAATTCCTTTATTGATGTGTAATGCGTTCATTACAGGCTTGTCGGTGACGTTCTCCTGTGTACAGGATTCTTGTCCTACTCGGGTCCATTCAACCAGGAGTTCCGTGTCTTACTACTGGAAAACTGGAAGAAAGAATTAACAGACAGACAAATTCCGTTCAGTAGTGACATCAATATCACCAACATGCTAGTCGATACGCCAACGGTAGGAGCACGCTGTTTAGCAATAATAACGTCCTTGTATTTACTAAATATATTTAATTTGTTGTTAATAACCAATAATAAGTTATGGTTCGAATTGGCTCAGTGGAACGGCTGGATTTTTGGCACTAGGTGGGTGAATGGAACCTGCAAGGGTTGCCCAGCGACGACCTTTCCATCCAGAATGGCATCATTGTTACGAAAGCATCCAGATATCCACTTCTCATTGATCCTCAAGGCCAGGGCAAACACTGGATCATGAACAGAGAGTCACAGCTTCAGGTATGCAATCGCATCTTTGTTAATGCAGACACAGGTTGATTTATTTCAAATCGCAGTATGACTCACCGATTGCTGTCAATGGATCATTACTCACATTCCTCTTGTTCAGTGTTTTACTTTGAGCACGTTTTTTTTTCCTTTGCTGTCTGTGATAGCAGCTGTACATATAGCTTCACGTCAGTAATTCTGTGTACACAGTTATAGACTCACATCTTCTATACAGGTGACCTCTCTTAATCACAAGTGGTTCAGAACGCACCTGGAGGATTCACTGTCTCTTGGCAAATCGCTTATGATTGAGAATGTCGAGGAGGAACTTGACCCTGCACTAGACAACGTGCTAGAGAAGAACTTTATCAAGTCTGGTTCCACCTACAAAGTAGGTTTATTAATTTCTACTTGCCATCTATCCGAGATCTAGTTCTCTAGTTCATTACATTTTTATCGAATCAAAGACAAACTAACCATGTTAATGATATAGATAGTCAGTCTTAGTTTTAACTATGTTAATTATGACTTGTGAAATTTGAATATTGTTGTGCAGGTTAAAGTTGGTGACAAAGAGGTTGATGTCATGAGTGGCTTTGTTCTCTACGTCACAACCAAGCTACCCAACCCATTGTACACACCCGAGGTACTATATACCGATTTAACAGATTAAATTCATCAGTAGTTCCTGAAAATTCACTTCAATGTAAATGTTTTATGCAGTGACAGCTATTAAAGCAATGCATCAGATCGATACTTTAGAAATACGTAATACAGGGTTTGTATGGGTCACCTGGCAAACGTAAAAAGATGTGAAATTTAAAAATGACCTTTTTCAGGTCTGAAATGTCCTGGAAAACCCTTAGGATCCTGGATAGTTTTGAAAAATAGGCTATTATTATGTTTGGTCCTGGAAGGTCCAGGAATTTTAGCTGATTTCTATTCTGTCCACATTTTGCCAATGATAAAAAAAATTGAATATACTGAAGATATAGCCCTCTTTACTGCAATAAGCCTGGCTTGAGGCAAGAGTATTTTTTGCTAATTATTGATTTGAAATTATACGCATTACAAAGATTGTATTTTACTTAAATCTTGTGGTGCTTGAAATATGACCTTCTAAGTCCTAGAAATATCCTGGAAAAAATATTTTGCTTTAGGTGTATGAACCCTGTTATAAGTAACATGTCACAGTGAATGATTTTAAATTATTCAACGTAGTTAATCACTTGTTCATGGAAAATTGATCAATAGTCAATACTATATCTTGCCAGACAGCTGGCTACTCCAAAACTATAATGGTCACAACTGTAAGTAGCCCACAAGTTACATGCATGTGGCCACGTTTACTTCTAGATTAGCGCAAAGACATCGATCATAGACTTCACGGTTACGATGAAAGGTTTGGAGGAACAGCTGTTGGGTAGAGTCATTCTCAGTGAGAAACAGGTATGTTTGTTGCCGGCTGAATGCTATCAAACGATACAGCTGCTAAAACCTTTGCTTTCGACACTGTGTTTTTAATGTAATGGATGGTAATGTTAGTCTCGAGTTTTAATGTTTGATGCAACCATAGCACGTGCGTCCAAGATCAGTCACTCTGCTGCTTTACGCTGGAGGTCATGCTCGCACTGGAGCGGGACAATATAGTGACCGACAATTTGGCCAACCCACTAACACGAATAATTGTCGTTTATTGCGTAGGAACTGGAAGCAGAACGTACAAAGCTGATGGAAGATGTGACAGCCAATAAACGCAAGATGAAGGAGCTGGAAGACAATCTCCTCTACAAACTGACTAGCACAAAGGTCTGTGCCTCGTCAATGAGTAGTAGACAATGGTGCCCCGGTATATTCCCATCTAAGTCATTGTCAAGTACACAAGATGAATTCCTGCTTTTACTGCTGTTTTCCGGTACACAATTGTTAATGAGCACCTGCTATACTTCCATTCATCTGTTTCATATGTTACTTCTACTTTCAGGGTTCACTGGTGGACGATGAGTCGCTAATTCAGGTGTTGGCTATCACCAAGGAGACAGCAGCAGAAGTCAGTGAGAAGCTGATCGTGGCAGCCGACACGGAGTTAAAGATCAACAATGCTCGTGAAGAATTCCGACCAGGCAAGAATGGCTTCAGTGCTTGTTCTTTTATTGCTTTTAATGGAGCGTTGCTAGTCATCTTACATCTATTGTATGAATCATGCTCAGTTCTAATGTATGTGCCAATTTAATGCAGTTATTTTTACTTGTAGTTGCGACTAGAGGTAGTATTCTCTACTTCCTTATCTGTGAGATGAGCATGGTCAATATCATGTACCAGACATCACTCAAGCAATTTCTGGGAGTATTTGATATGTCAATGTCAAAGTGAGCATCTACTACTTGCCATTTGGAAATTGCATTTTGAATTTCATTATAAGTTGGTCAGTTATGTACTAATCATAGTAATAGTGTAGTAAATAGTGTTATAATAGTGGGGTACTATAAAGGGTGATTTGACAGTGTGTTATGCTATGATATACCTGAAATTCCCTACACCTGTAACAAGGCGCTGTGATTTCACACACAGATCTGCGAAGTCGCCCATACCAGCTAAGCGAATTGATAACATTATCAAGTTCCTTACATATGAGGTGTTTAAGTACACCTGCAGAGGCTTGTATGAGAACCACAAGTTCCTCTTCACCCTTCTGCTTGCGCTGAAGATTGACCTTGATGGGTCAAAGGTTAAGCATGAAGAATTCCAAATGTTCATCAAAGGTACGGTGTAGCTACACAGATGAACTGTAATCTGTGATGATAGTAAAACATAATATCCTGTTATCAATCATGTCATACCTGATGTGATGCAAGTCTCATATATATTCTTCCAACAGGTGGTGCTGCATTGGATCTAAATTCTGTTCAAGCCAAACCATGCAAATGGATCACTGACATAACTTGGCTCAATCTCGCTGAACTAAGCAAACTACCACAGTTCAGTGAAATCCTCAACCAGGTATGATAGTGTACAGGAGATCATATATATAGAACACACGGTCAGTGCATGCGAGGCAGTAACGTTACCATAACAGCCATTTTTAGTTACAAAGCCTATATTGAGACAGAACCACTGAACTAAACGTGAACACTTCCTTGCTAACGTCCTGTACTATCTCTGTATATTGACTATAAATATTTAATATACGTAGGTTCATGAATCGATGATAGACGACTACGTACCTATTGCGTGATTTTGCTGCAACCGCTACGGGTATTGTAGTGGGTATATCTCCAGTACTGTTCTTGCCTTCTATTTAACCGTGTCCACACGTTACATCCTGTAGAAATAATTTAACAAGATGTGTGTACTCGAGCTTTGTCCTCCTCAAAACTCAGAGGAAACGAGGAGTGCGTGTGCACGTAGGCTACATTTGAATCATTACTAAACCTGTATGAATTCATGCTCGCCGGCGTCAGATTCCGCGCAACGAGAAAGGCTGGAAGATCTGGTTCGATAAAGATGCGCCGGAGGAGGAACAGATGCCAGACGGCTATCACAGCTCGCTGGACACCTTCAGAAAACTGCTGCTCGTCAGGTACAGTGCCGCAGTGCCATCTGATGCTGCCTCGAGACACGGTGTCTCAAACGTGATGTGTAAATGATGGCTGGACGTCGTAATCGGGGGGTTTTCCTAAAGCAGACTTGCGAGAATTATTTCGAAAACCGAGGGCTGTCCTCGTCTCGATCAGTTTTCTCGTGCGATTTATGTAGCAATTTAAGATGCTTCTTCTTTGTGTCTGTGAAATGTTTCATAATGTCTTTGCTATTATGCATTGTGAGGCCCTCTCATTATGTCTAAACGCGAGATGTCAAGCTGCCTCTTGCATGTTATATTGGTGTTATTATAACTCAACTGTGGGCACGTGTGTTTGTTTGCAGATCGTGGTGCCCCGATAGAACTATGGCACAGGCACGCAAGTACATCGGAGACTCACTCGGTGCCAAATACGCAGATTCAGTCATCTTGAATCTGGAGATGACATGGGCTGAGAGTGATCCTCATGTGCCACTAATCTGCTTCTTATCCATGGGCTCTGACCCAACTAGCCAGATAGAAGGCCTTGCGAAGAAACTCCATGTTGGTGCGTTTATTTAACGGTATTCCTGTCTCTTGATAGTGGTTGCATGTTGTATATATCGGAAGCCCTAAAATACTACAACCTCTTGGTTTTTAACGTGGTATGTTAGCTGCATCATTCGTGTGAGTTGCACATGTACAGTCATTCGTAATCTCTATACCTCTGTTTTGCCATCACATTTTGTTTGTATATATGTGAAATGTGTGTTTTTCCCCTAGACTGCCGAGCCATTTCCATGGGTCAGGGACAAGAGGTCCATGCTAGGCGATTACTCAGCCAATCTATGCAAGCTGTAAGTACTTTGTATACGCCTATTAGGAAATTAGTAACTCTTTGCTCTCAGTTTTTAAAATTGTGAACGATAAGCGATCATATCAGCACATTGCACAGTCGGTTTGTTGATTGTGAAGTTGTTCTATCTTACTTCAATTAAAGAATGCAGCTACCAATGTTTTCCTAGTGGGTGTTATCATGATGTGAACACCCGACACATTGACAGAAGCAATACTAGGTGCACCCAGCATCCTTGTTACATTAGCCGCACTGTAAGTGCCACTACCATAACAATTTGGTTGCTTCATTCACAGGGTGGTTGGGTTCTGCTGCAAAACTGTCATCTTGGTCTGGATTTCATGGACGAGCTGCTGGAGACAGTAATTTCTGCCGAGTCTCCCTCTGAGTCATTCAGAGTTTGGATCACCACTGATGTTAGCCCACAGTTCCCTATCAGCTTGTTGCAGGTTAGTTCTGCTATCAGGTTTAATGCTTGGTTACTGGTAAGCCTACTTGATTGCATTTCAATGAGTACGAAGCCGAGTTAAACGTAGGTTATGAGTGTAAAGAAGCTGCTATCAGGCTAAATACTAGGCTACTGGTAAGCTTACTTGATTACATTTCAGAGAGTACACAGCCGAGTTAAACGTAGGTTATGAGTGTAACGAATCATTTTGTGTAACAGACACAGAAGGCTATCGAAGTACTATTGATTTTAATTGCATTTGAGCCACAGTCAATGTAATTGGTCGGCTGTTTTCTTGCTGTTTGTTATCACACAACAACTAATTACGTAATACAATGTACATGAGCCCATGACAGTACAACATGTTGATAACTACATGTAAAGGATAGCCTTTCTATATGGTAAACTGTTCTCCTATGTTTTATGTCTCTTAATCACATTCACGTTTGCACGTTTTAGGCATCCATCAAGTTCACCAACGAGCCACCGCAGGGTATCAAAGCTGGCCTGAAGAGAACGTATAGCGGCATTAGTCAGGATCAGCTGGACGTTAGCAATCTAGCGCAGTGGAAACCCTTGCTTTACGCTGTGTCGTTCCTGCACACTGTCGTACAGGTAATACTTACCGTGACTCTATGCCGGAGCTCGGTGTGCTGTCCTGGCTATGCCCGGGCGGTGTACTATCTGGCTTTAGTGCAGTATCGCTCTTCTTTAAGCTACATTCACAATTAGGCTACGTGGGTCGATAGTGATGCTATACATTATATACATGTGTTAAATTTAATCAGAATTGCAGGCGCAAATTTTCTGTTCATCTGCTGTGTTATAGCCTATAACAGCACAAATTTGCGGTGATCGTTATGCCGGAGTAATCATTAAAAAGTCCACTAATAGGTGAGACTCAATTTGTCTACACTTACGCAGATTGACGACTCATTCGTGACATAATCAATTTAACATCATCCTGACTGATGCATCTAATGTTTCCGAACAGGAGCGGCGTAAGTTTGGGCCTCTTGGCTGGAACATACCGTACGAGTTCAACAGCTCCGACTGGATCTCCAGTGTGCAGTTTGTGCAGAATCACCTTGATGACCTCGACCCTAAAAAGGGCGTGTCATGGCCGACAGTGCGCTACATGCTGGGGGAGGTGCAGTATGGTGGCCGCGTGACCGACGATTACGACAAGACACTGCTCAACACCTTTGCGAGGGTATGGCATTTACTCGTAATTGTTAAACCTGAAAAATTGTATTCCTTTGCATGGCCGTATTTTCTATTTATTCGTGATATTGTATTCCATTGCATAATCAATTCATCATATGTGTCGAAGGTAAAGATGTACAGTACGCGAAACCTTATTGTTTAAGAAGCAAATGAGTTTTAGCATTTATTTTTATTTTATCCTAACCAGATGAAGTTGGTTTCCTTGTTTATGATGGTGGATGGTTACGTTTGTTGTAGGTGTGGTTTGGTGATCACATGTTCCAAGATGCGTTCACCTTCTATACGGGTTATAAGATCCCAAGGGTAAAGTCAATGGAGCAGCACATGCAGGCAATAGAGGAGCTGCCTCTAGTAGACTCCCCGCAAGCCTTTGGGCTGCATTCGAACGCAGACATCACGTACGTACTGTGTGCTATATGTGTGTGTATCTGCATGCGTGCGTGCGTGTAGATGGATGGGTGGATGGATGGATGCATGCGTGCGTGCGTGCATGTAGATGGATGGATGGGTGGATGGATGGAGGGATAGGTGGTTGGTTGGATAGATGAGTGGATGGATGGATGCGTCGATAGGTGGATGGATACACAGATAGATAGATATAGATGCTTGTGTGTGTGTGTGTGTAGGTACCAGAGCAATACAGCATCAGAAGTCTTAGACACTATCATGAACATTCAGCCGAAGGACAGTGGGGGTGGCAGCGGAGAGACTCGTGAGAGTGTCGTCTACAAGATGGCCAATGACATGTTAGAAAAACTACCACCTGACTATATTCCCCACGAGGTTTGTGTTAATATACTCCTCTGATGCTCTACTGCGATGTCATTAGAAATATTTAAAAGCGGCAGCATCAAAATGCTATCCATGGCTAAGATTCTATATGTGACTGTTTGCATACATGTGCAAACATTGAACAATTCTTGCTCAATTTTTAACCAGTTGATAACAAATTGGATAATATACTGTGCAATTATTATTGTTTCTTTGAATTCTTTCACTACATTTATAATACTACGCGTTTTCCTACCAACCTTCTTGTACATTCCCAGATTGCATATGGTAATTTCCAAAAAGATGCGCGTATTAGTTCTTAAAGACAGATGTTTTTCCACCATTAGTGTAGACTAAAAATTTAAAATTCCTTTGAGCTACCAGAAGCTTTCTTGTGTTCAAAGTCGGTTGCAATTCTAGTGGTTCAAGAAGAAAACGCAGGCCCAGCGTAATAAAGCCGTGTAGTAGCGTTAGCGATGCGCGGTTCATCGTTTCCCGTCGCACGCAGGTGAAAGCCAAGCTGCAGAAGATGGGCGCCTACAACTCGATGAACATCTTCCTGCGTCAGGAGATCGACCGCATGCAGCGAGTCATCACGACCGTGAGAAACACCCTCACCGACCTCAAACTCGCCATCGAGGGCACCATCATCATGAGCGAGGTGAGTGCCACCTACCGCTGCATCGTCGCCATTTATTGCCGAAGAGTGATATGCATTCCTGCATTCAGAGTGAAATCTGGCGAGGGGGGAACCTTCACTGCGTGGGGTGGCAGAGATGTGTAACACTGGTGTCTGCAATGATGCTGATAGGGTCTATGTCTCCCTGGGTACTGCCGGAACGTACCCTGGTAACTATCTGATATGGTTAGGGTTAGGGAGTAGGCGTAGGCGTAGGTGACATATATGTACCTGAGGTAACTATCTGATATGGTTAGGGTTAGGGAGTAGGCGTAGGCGACTCCCTAGACTCGTTAGTGGAGTAGGTGAGGTACGGTCCGGCATATTACATAGTACCAGGGTACGTTCCGGCAGTACCCAGGGAGACATAGACCCTGGCAGCTGCAATGACGTGTAGCCTCATGATCAATAGAGCATTTCGTATCATGCCTAAGCAACTTACTACGATGGTGAAAGAATCTGTTCTGAGATTTTTGGTGGTAATGCTATATGCAATGCTCGTTGTACACATTTATTATTGATCTACTCCTGATATGATATTCACTGTGAGTGAAGTCCATGTGTTACACATACTACTGGTTTCAAAATTTGAGTTTATAAGTCGATTGTTTGCATACCAATTGATTAGAGCTTGACCTTGTTTGTGGGTTGCGTCCGTAAATGGTAAAAAATATATCATCGATCCTTGTTCATAAGCCTGGATGTTTATAACTTGCATGTTTGTAAACATTCCACCTGACTACCCCGTACACTGCCGTAGGTGATTTTATGGCTGTATTGTGTAGAATTTTACCCGAAAAACAAAAATGCTCAAAACATGTCGTTTACTCACGTATACCATGGCATCTTGCGTGTAGAACTTGCGCGACGCTCTGGACAACATGTTCGACGCGAGAGTGCCGGGACTGTGGAGGAAGATATCCTGGCAGTCTTCGACGCTAGGATTCTGGTTCACCGAACTCGTCGAAAAGAACGCGCAGTTCTCGTCGTGGATCTACGACGGGCGACCCAACGTGTTCTGGATGACAGGCTTCTTCAACCCACAAGGTATTGCCGACATTTAGCACGTTAATCACACGATCGAATGTCCACCGAAGATGTAACTGTTGCTCGAAGGATAGTTGTAGAACTTGCGGCTGACTGTAATACACTCTTACCTGCAGGCTTCCTGACTGCGATGAGGCAGGAGGTCACACGTGCACATAAGGGTTGGGCATTGGACTCGGTCACACTTCACAACGACGTCCTGAAGCAGAACAAAGAGGACATTACATCACCGCCTCAGGTATGCTCACTATTACCAGTGTGTGATAGATTCATCGTTACAGGGTGGCAACACTCACGTGCCTGACTTGTTAAAATATTGTGTGTTAAATGCAATTTCGATGAAATTACTTTTTGGGATAGTTTGATATCCTACTGTCAATAATCTACTGCAAGTTTCTGTTACTTTCTACTGAGTTCATTTGACAGATTGTGGTAACTTTTCAGCTGCATTTGGGGGATTTCATTCCGCATTACTTACCATTGCCCGCAGAGATTAAAACACCATGCGTCTATTTCCCATGCTCCTCGCTCACCCTTCGTACGATCCGTCACTGGCAACTAATCGTAGCCGCAGCCATTATACTTACAATTTCCTCCACAGGAGGGCGTCTACATCCACGGCCTGTTTCTGGACGGGGCCGGCTGGGACCGGCGTAACTGTCGGCTGACCGAGGCGACGGCGAAGGTGCTCTTCACGAGCCTGCCCGTCATCCACGTGTACGCCATCAACTCGATCGCGCCCAAGGACCCGAAGCTGTACCAGTGTCCCGTCTACAAGAAGCCGCAGCGCACCGACCTCACGTTCATCACGCCCGTGTGGCTGAAGACGGTGCAGAATCCCGACCACTGGACGCTGCGCGGCGTCGCACTGCTCTGCGACATCAAGTAGACTCGCGATGCCGAGGAACGGGGAGTGGTAGGGGAAGCCATGTCGAGATTCCCACAGCTCCATTGCCTGTGTGACATCAAGTAGACGTGCAATGCCAGGAAACGGGTGGTAGGGGGAGCCATGGTTGAGATCTGGTAGCAAGGATTCTTCTGCTGTGTTATTCTTGTAGCAGTTTTGCTATTTTTGTGGGATTTGATGGCACACCGTTTACCTTCCATCTGGATTCCAATGTTTTGTCTTTGTCCTGTACATGTGTAAACTGTTTGAGTAATTATCTGGGAGTCTAAAGTATTTTTTTACAATCTGCGGAAAGTGACATTTTAAAAATGTTAAAAGTTTTTTATAAGTCTGCCTGTCATTTTCTGAAACGGTTTGGTGATTTTTATGAGCAAAAAAAACATTCAAATCGTAGAATTTATTGTACAGCTTTTCGCACAAATGTTAGTAATTGTAAAACGAAATATAATTTCAATCCATGAATCAAAGTATTTTTCATTGTTTGCTGTGGAAATTTTCCATGAATTGCCATAATTAGACACTGAACATGGTTTATAGAACACAAAACTTTATTTACAATTTTGAACTATAAATGTACAACTTTTGGCACAAACGTTAACCGTTATCACCGATAAAATACACTAGCTAACTTTAAACACACAACGGTTTCTAAACAAGACACTTGCTGATAAGGTACAGCAACAATACCTTTGGTAAATGTACATTGCTTATTTCATTGTTTGTCCCGCAAGGGTCAAGTTACTGCAAATATTATTAATGTTATAGTAAAATTCTAATTTATATTAACAAACTACTCATACAGAGTTTATACACATACGTTGTCAGCTCGCACACATTTTAAAACTCCCATGGAAATGCATCATTCAAGGTTAAAAAATTGTAAGCTTTACTAATAGTTATCAAGTCTAAAAATACCGAATATCTTTTGCTTTTAAGTACCCTGCAAATAATATTTGGAACGTACTATGGTGAGATCAGGTAGAGAATATTGTTAATAACTGAGGTGTAATTTTAACAGCAAATTGAGCAGTGATTTTCAGTAGAAGTAAAATGCATTTAACAATAATGACTATTCACGGTCGAGAAGTACAATAACTGGAATTGTCTAATTAACCATGATGCTAATTCAACACATGGCTAATTGCAATTTGTTAATTAATACGTGCTACCACTTTACACGCAACAAACGTATCACACACGGATTTTTACAAAAATATTTAAATATTAAAATTATGGTTGCTTTAATTCTGTTAAGATATACTTCCATCATCTAGTAAGAAATGAGCATAGTACAAAAACAGAAAAGGCCATTGACCATTTAAGACTAACAATTCAATTATCAACAATTAAAAACTAGTTTGTAATTTAAATCTACAATAACCTACATTACATTATCTGCAAAAATTACAAAACCCTCACTTGTTGCACATACGTACAATCAAATTAACTAACAAGAATATAAATCCTTCAAATTAAACTCAATTAACACAGGTCTGTGGACATTCTATCAACACAGCAAATAGAGGTTGTCCGCAGAGCTTCCCTTGTCTACAATTTTAATTGCAAAACTTCATGTAACATCACGTTTTTAAGCAGTTCATTTACGGGTATCCTAGGTTTTACAGGTGACTTACGTTGAGCTGCTAGAATTGACTATGGGTACTCCTGCCACTCAGGGTAGGGTATCAAGGATGGCATTTATCTTTCTGATGCACGGCTCAATCTCGCCGCACATCTCATTCGACCAGACAATCCTGTAATCAAGCAGTAATATTTTAGTAAATTTAAATTTAATAAAATTTTAAAAATAAATTTATATTAAATTTCATTAATTATAATAACAAGAAGTCAAGCAAAATTATCTACTGTCAATGTGCATATCGACTGCATGTGCGCCACTAATTCTATGCCTCCACTATACTACACTGGTGCACAGCATGACCATTTCCACCATTACACTGGAAGTTTGGAAACCCTAATGACTACACTCAAAAGCTTATCTATAGCAGGGTTATTATTCATGGCGACACTTACTGCTCCCTGATGTCTCTGTATTGTTCCTTTTCCAGAACAGCATTTTTTAGGACGTACATGCACTGCACAGCTAGGCCCCTGTAACAGGACAGCTTGCATTTATTATGCGCATGATCCTCCCACTGTGGTAGCTGCCCAGTGTAGGTCCACGCCATGAACACGTACTCTAGTGCTGCAAGCCAGCTTTCAGCCTTCAGAAGCACCCGACCCTGTTCCAAGCATGTTTTCTGTAAGCAAATGAAATGCATTTAATGACAAGATATCTTGGATTATATTAGCACTTGTAAGGCAAGCTACCAGGTTTTCAATCACAATTATTAACTACAATTAAGCACATATATTAGACTGCACACCAATGTAACTAGATAGGTGTAGCTGCAAATTGTAGGAAAATAACGAAAAATAATCACAAGAAATTTAAAGTTAGAGGATATAAAAAATAGCTAGATAGATTTAGACAGAAAGTCGGAAGTAAGCGATTCTAAGAGTTTTATACTATTAACGTTGAAACGAAAATTATAAATAACTACAACTATAACATTAAAATGCAGAGGAAATCTATCGCTTCATGTTTGGTGCATAATAACATGGGACAACAAACCTTGAATGCAACAAGGTGAGTGGAAACCCTCTTGTAACAGTAAGAATCCCTGCGTGATGAGCCAAACCTCACAGATGGAAAGGACCGATAAACATTATGCTTAAGCTGAGAAAGCTGCTCCTCTAGTGGATGTAGATCTGGGTTTGGAAGAATGTCGCTCAACTCCTGTCAAAGGAGACAACACGTTACTCATTACTCTGCTAAAAAATAACACCAATTTAAAACAAATACACTGCGGAAAAGTTGCAACTAGCAATGCTTACTGGCCGATTCATAGCCTTCTCCAGATACACACAAGCATACATTTAGATCGTACAGGATTTCCCGCGTGTTTCGCGGGTGGCAGCTAATCTTGGATGGACTGCTAACTAGTGATGTGCCGATGATCGATTATAATCGAAACTCAGTCGTTTGCAGCAACCACTTAAGCGCTCAATTATGAAAATAAATAATCGATAATCAAAACAATTTTTTTTTAACAATGTGCAAACATTGATGAAATGACTCTTTATTTTTTTTTTTTTTTTATTTATTTTACAGCTCAAATCTAACCTACACCAAACACAAACAAGTATAATACTGTTACATAGCTTTTAGAATATTGTACCATAAAAATACTGTATTATATGATATATGATATATTTCAATATCTGGTAGCCGCGATCAATAACATTCAACCGATTATCTTCGATCATCGATCGGTTGGGTGAAACCGATGATCGATGATGAAATTCCAATCGATTCCCATCACTACTGCTAACCTTCTCGAGATCTGGATGGTGCTCCAGAAGCTGCTCGATGGTATCGACTAGCTGTGAGTGACTGAGGCCCTGCAGTTGTGTTAGCAGCGGGATGTGATGCTGCGGCCTGTGTAGTCTCAGCTTCTTCGGTTCGGAAAAGCTCTGCAAGTGCACCGATCATTGGGTTAATGAGGTATGACTGTACAGCACAACAGGACTAAATTAAATGGCTGCCTTACACAGAACAACAATGAGAAGAATGACTGCAACTAGTAAACACAGAAGGCAGTGTAACTATATATATATATATATATATATAACTATATATATCTTGCAATGCTGATATGCAGACTCAAAGGGTCATCCTAAGATTCTACTACGATTAGTTACCAATAGTATCAAACATTATAAAACACTAAAAGTATAAAAGTATACTCCAGTATAAAAGCACTAACCCTGTTCAGCAGCGGGAATGGACTACTAGTCCTGGGTGGCTCAAACCTATAGTCACCATCTGTCGAGGAACTGGGCGAAAGCTGCAAGCGTTTTCTTGAAGCCGTAGATTCTTTAGGAGTCTTTGGTGGAGTATTGAACAGGCCGAGTACTTCTTGCTCTGCAACACGTTTTACAGCTGCACACTCTATACAAGTTCTATGTTCATCCTATGAATTAAAAATGCTCAACTGCTCTTTGTGTCACTATTGTGTAATATTAATGAACAGTTTGAACACCAAATGAATGTTTCCACTCTCTTAATTCCTACTACAGTGAAACCTCGATTATCCGAACGAGACGGGTGGGGAGTATTTTGCTCGAATAACTGATCTGATCGTATTACCGTTAAATACTCACGAGACCTTGAAATCTTGTTCGGATAACTGAGGTTTGACTGTATTCCTTACCCAGATCATTTAAATCTCCCGGCTCGCTGCCTCCGACTGGATTGTGTCTTCTACAGATGATCACATGTTCGTCAGGTGACAGAGGCACAAAGGTAGGGCAAGGTCTACCTGAAGCTTGGCCAGGCCCTATAAGCAAACAAAATATCAAATGACGTTTGTATTCGATGCAATATTAGTCTTTCTGGAGTTCTACAGTTAGGCAGTCACATATCCTTATGGTAGTTACTAAATACTAAGTATCTAGCTCATTCTTGTCATAGTACCCATTTTTGTCTGGACATGTCACCTGATCACCACATTGGGAAGCAACTTTTGTTCTTAAAATCCTGTTTCATTGGGCTCCTGTCATTATCATAATGTGTAGACAAACCAGGTTAATTTCCAAGCAGTTGACAATAGGTGCACATGTGTGACATCATGTGGAACCAGCAACACTGATGAGATGTCATGATGCAGCTAATGGTGACAATTGCTAAGCCGTCTTAGTCTACTGAATGAGTGCTTAACACCTCATGTATGTTCATTCTTTTCAGATTTACACCCCTCTAAGTTCACTACCACCAGCTGACTGCACCTATGGTGAGAGGTTACATTAGGAGGCATGGGAAAACATGGGACAATTTCTGGCTGAACAATGCAGGGTTATGACAGTCTAATTAGACCTTTGCATGCATCTATGATCATCTATACAAAAACAAAACTACAGTACAGGGTACGGGGGTAGTGTGGGGGTCAGTCAACCATGTGACCAGTGTGTGGGTCTGCGTACCTACGTTAAAAAATTCCAAAAAGCAATGTTTAGTGTAAAGGGTAGGTATAGGTTTAGAGTAAATATAGGTACTTGTTATGGGATATTTGAACTATACATGTACTGTATCAGCAATTAATGGGACAATAATTGTGTAATAACACATTTGTTCTAAAACGAAGCGCATGGTATATTGGTAGTACATTCTGTTATAATAGCAATTAACACACATAGATTACTAGAAAGAGTGTAGTGGAAGTCTGCCTGGGCACTGTAGGTGACAGCTGGCACTAGGACAGGGGGTAATTAATTTAACTTAGACCTGCAGTGGTTGAAGAGGATCGAGAGATGTAGTGTAGAAACAGCAAGCCACTTCCATCTTTCTCCTGACCCAACCATTTTGTAGCGATGAGACTGCTTTGTTTTAATACTTGTAATTGTATTTTAATGATATAGTAATACAAATACTACAGAACAAACGGTTTTTCCAGAGACTTGACTATTTTGTAATATTAGTTCTTTCAGTTTATGTGTTTTAATACGAACGTGACAATATTGCCCTTCTGACAATGCAGCCCGCGATCTCGATTTATGGCGCTAAGAAATAATGCTACCGGCCGTTGCTATTATTTATATTTGGCAGAGTAATAAGTTATTATTTATATAACTATCATTTACAAAGTACAGTTACAACTCTTCGTAACCGATTGCGTAAAAATTACAAACTAATAACTTACCAGTAGTTCGCTGCTGTCCAGCAAAAGGTGGGGCACGACCGAGGTTCTGAACAGACTGTGCATTTCCAAAAACTTGTCTCGGTGTAGTAGTGTTCATGTTTCCTGTAATATCTAAAGAAAAACTTTATAAACCTTTAAGAAAAATCACCAGAATGTCAAGCAACTATTCACGGACGTGATGACATAAACATATTTAGTCCGAGTTACACAGAAATAATGTTATTAACATGAATAAGAGACGAATCTTTGATCAACCTTACATGACATTCGGTACCATTCAATGGAATTTGGCGCGACCATAGGTGGCGATACGGCAGTAGCGGTTGGACGAAAAGGAAAAAGAATGACCAATGAACACTGCTCTAACGTATCGACGAATCAAATCCCTTGGTCTATATATAAACAACATGGCGATGCAGTAGTGTAAAAGTTTATATTTTCGTAACATTTTATTACATTTTTGCACTAAAATGAATAACACAGAGGAAAGGAAAAATCGTAAGGCTACAAAAGCGTCACATGTATCCGTAAGTGTAAATAATGTGTTTTAACGAAAGTGATAATTTCCAAATAAACATGGAACAGTGAGATTGTTCAGTTTGTTGTGTTGTGTCACTGTGCCAGAAGTCTGCGCGACAGCGAACAAACTGGTTTAAATACGTAAGTTACGACAGTAACATCGTATGGATTATTTTTCAGATTCCAAGCGACTATATCGAAGACAAAACGCGTCATAGGTTATCTAATCTACACGTCAACAATGCAAACTGTAGTAGAAATAGTTTCAATTCCGCAAATAAACACTACAAGTACAGGGAAGAAATCAATAAAAATTCAAATTCAAATTCAAATAAAGTTTATTGCACGGATAATCGCAGATCATACAGGCAAATATGCTACAAACTACAATAAAACAAATTCTTAGGCTAATAAAAACATCATAATACATGATAATATATGTTTTTGTTATTTAACATAATACATTCATATCATATATATAATATATATATTTATATATAATATATATTATATATTATATAATACATATATATCAGTATCAGTACAAGGACTCGGGGTATCACTGGTTACCATGTTCATCCTTATGATACTATTTATATATAATTAAGTTATGACTTCCAGAACGGCTTCGCGTCCGTATTATTTTGCAACATTTTCACATTTTTTTAATGTCTTTTTGTATAGAATTTTAATTTAAGTTAAAAATACTGTTATGGTTACAACAGTTTTGTTTTCTGTTGTATCAAAGCATATATAAGATGTACTGAAATCTGGACGTTTTCATGCACAGCATATATTATCAAGAGTAAATAACCACAAATTGCGATAATTTATTACTGATACTATATTTACAGTAACAAAATTGAGCGCTCAATTTTAACAATAACTAATCATATTTGTTAATAATATTAATAAGATTTAATATTTACAATCATATTAATAAAAGGATAATACTATATCTCTGGTCATCAGGCAAATCATGTGTGTACCGTATTGTCACACGAGGAATGGGCGAATATCAGATGCTGGGGCTTTTATAGAGACACACAGAGTCTATAATTTATCTGCTCTCAGTTTGGTCCAATATTCCCACCCACTGCTGATTGACAGATTTTTTGTATGTTGTTTTAAGGCCAGCTCACAGCACATATTGATGTATTCAGGTGCATATGTTGCTTGTGCGCACAGGAATAAATGGTTTTTATATATGCATTACACAGACAGAAATTACATGTATACATGTACTTGAAGCACTTGTAAGTGCCAGATTAAGAGTGCCTGGGAGCACCAAAATTCCAGATTGTGGTTCTCCAGTTAATATTGGCTGGATCAACTGCATGAATAACGTGTGAAACCTTACTTGCATGTGGTCATCTGGACAAATAAGGCTTCATGAGTTATGTGTTTGGGAGTCCGAGGCTGGATGAATGTGTAATTTGTTCGTTAATAACACTGCTAACTGCGAATGCCTGTTACCTGTTTTTAGAGTAGCCGAGAGTCCAGCGTAGATATACAGCGGTGGATAAAAGACGTACATAAATATTCGAATGGCAGGGAAGACATGTTTAGTGCAAGCGGTGATATTAATGAGAAGTTAGAAGATGCTAGCCATGCAGAAGGTATACTAATTACATATATACTAACTACAGTATGGACACTAGAGTTTTCTGTGTTATGATGAAGTTGGTTAATTGTATTTTCATAATTAATATAAGATTCTGCGTGTATGCATGCACACAGGCACTCACGCATACACACATAAGTATTAGTGCTATTATAACCATAATATGCATGGCAAACACTTTTTGCCATAGCGCAAGTAATTGTGAACACCTGGCTCAGAGAAAAACTGTATGATGAGATAACAGATGACACTGGAGACCATTCTGTACCATTCCCACAGTGGCAGTGTCCTCATCAAGACAAAGATATAAGTACTGATAGCAAAGGTTTGAAAATTATTGATAGTTACATAATTGTATACTTGCACACAGAGGTCGTAGAAATACTTATTTAAACAAAAACAGGTAAAACGTCTGAGGGATTGATGTTATTCTTTGAAAATTTCTATTTTAGATCTATACCATGAGATTCAGGAGAGAGATGATTCTGTTGCTGTTGCTTCTATTTTGAACTCTATGCGTTCAACCCCAATCGCCATAGAGAAGCAATCCACGTGGTTTAGACAATATGAAACAAAGAATGTCACTGATCCTAAAACCACAATGGAAATGAGACATAAGCAGGTAATAAACTCTATGGGTATTTCTTTGTATTTTTTGTATTTATATTTTTTTATTACACCAGTGGTTTTATGAATATATAAAAATATTTTGTTAATTGTAAGTCCTATGTCTTATTAAACAAGCTATATATGTGCATTTCCCCGGCATGTGTATTATCTGAATACTTTCTATTATATAACAAGCTTTCAACCTATTCACACACAATATGAAAACACCAAACATACATTACCACATAGGTTTATTCTTGTGTAACTTGGTCTGCTGATAATATTTCTTTGCAAAGGTGAGGGAAAACCGTCAGCACATGGAAAAAGAGAAATGGCAAAAGCAGAAGGAGAAGCTTGCTAGAAAAGCAGCTGTTTTGGAGGCCAAGGAATTGTTGAAGAAGGAGGAGCATGAGCGGAGACAAAAAGAAAAACAAGAGGAGATGGAACTTCAGAAAGAAATGGCAACATTACGAAGGGAGATGCAAATGAGGAGAGAAGCAGAAGATAACCTTAAAAAACTTAGGTGAATTACTGTCATGGCATCATGTAATGTAAACGTTCCCTTATCTTTTGAAGCTATAGATTAATTAATGCAGCAACTATTAATTGATTAGTATAACATATTAATATTGAACGTATTACTGAATGAAGTATTAACTTCAATTGATTACATCAATTATTTTACTGTCTTTACCTATTATTTGGCCCAGACAGAAGAAACGAGAGGAACGCGTAAGGAAAAGCATTGATGCTACCGTTGGTGCTGGCAGATGTGCAGTTGCTGATGTACGGCATGATGTATCTGTTCCCGAACCAGCCTCTGCTCTCAAGCTGAAAAATGAATCTCAAATCATCGAGAGACTAGCTGTTATTGAAGTCAAACGAAATCTACAGGTATTTTTGTGCATTACTGCAGTTGCATCATGAAAATTCATTGCCTAAGCAGGAACTGATGTGAACCCCTTTAAATTGGAATTAGCTATTGACAATATCCATAAATTCCTGATAATAACAAATAATTGATTGATTGATGATTGATTGGTATTCCATTATTTCAGTCCAAACGTAGAGTGTTCGCAGCCTGGTATAGCTTGCTACTGCAGAAGCGTGCACAGATGGGGCAGGTGCGAGCACTGGCAGAGTGGAAGTGCGTGCTGAGGGCATGGAATTCATGGAGGGCTTACATACGTAGCATTCATCTCAAGCAGGAAGCTATTCTGCTCGAGGCACAGGCGAGGGCTGAACATAGGTAATAACACCTAATCTGCACATATTTCATACACATGTCAGTATATATATATAGCTAGTGATGTCCCGATGATTGATTATAATCGAAAATCGATCGATTAGTCTCAAATTCAAAAATCGATTATGAAAACAAATAATCAATTATCAGAAATAAAAAAATAAAAAAATATTAAATAAAAAATAATTAATTAAATAAAAAATTACTAAATCGCAACATGGACATGTATTGGTAGCGAAGTAGAAGTGCATCATCTATCTATCCATCCACCTATCTATCCATCTATCTATCCATCTATCTATCTGTCCATCTATCTATCTATCTATCTATCTATCTATCTATCTATCTATCTGTCTATCTATCTATTGATCAAGCGATCGTTCTATCTATCTATCTATTTATCTATTTATCTATCTATTTATCTATCTATCTATCTATCTATCTATCTACTTATCTATCTATCTATTTATTTATTTATTTATCTATTGTATCTTTAGTAACCGTAAAGCAAGTCAGTGCAAGCTGAATTCTGTTTGGACTGTTTTAACTTGAATCCTGTTGCTGCAGGTGCCCGTTTATTTAATGCTGCTGCAGGGTCCCGTTTTTTTTGGTTTTTTTTTCGTGTTTTTTTTTTGGCTTAGATGACCTCGGAGGTCAAATCCAATGTGCCCATGACATTCATCATCAAAATTTACCCCTACTGAACGTCCTTGGACATTTCTAGAGTGCTCCATATTGATTTGCATTGCGAACAGACATACATTTACAAATATGTATTAGATATATCGATCATGTGTTGTAATGTTAATAGTATAAGAAAAGTCATTTCAGCACGTAGTAACCAAGATGACAACACATCAATTCTTCTGCACCTTGTCTGTCGTGCAGGAAGATGTTGCTGGCAGTTCAACACCATAGACACGCAACACAACGGAAGTATTTCCTCATATGGCGTCTAGTGATACAGCGTCAGATTGAGTATAATAATCAGCAAGTTGTTGCCTTGGAAACTAGGAACAAAATGGATGCTTTTCTTGGAGCAATTGCATCTGGAACGTTGTCTGGGACAAGTGGGGAAAACAAATCGTCACCAGGAAAATTGGTATGTATCTCACTGTTTTCTGGTCATCGTGTAGCTGGATATTCGTAGCTAATATTGATTTCAATTTACTGATATAAATTTTCAAAATAATGTCTATAATTTAAACAGGTTCTTTATTTATTGTATCCCCCGAACGAAGTTCGTGGGGATACTATGGATTTGGCATCGTCGCGCCGCCGCCGCCGCCGTCGCCGCCGTAGAGATTTCCTTGTGAACGCTCTACCGGCTGCAGTTCTTCTCGGATCATCTTCAAATTTCTAATGAAGGTGACGTTATCGTAAAAGCGAAGACTACCTATTTG